AAGAAAGAAAGAAAGAAAGAAAGAAAGAAAGAAAGAAAGAAAGAAAGAAAGAAAGAAGGAAAGAAAGAAAAATTAGCACTGCAACATCAAATTGTGCTTTCTGGCCCTTCCCTTTACAAGCGGAGCATGAGTGAATCAGAGACATATGGGTTACATTTCCCTGGAAAGACACTCAAGTTCGAAAGCGAACTTGGCAAAAGGTATTGGTGGGGGAAGGGTGGTTTTTAGAGCATCCAGAGCCCTTGAAGTGCTTCTCAGAAATCCTCAGCAGCCCTGCACATCTTCTATCTGCCTGGGGAGCTCTCAGATCTGCCCATTTCAAAGTCAGGCACTGTGCATAGCAAAAGTGACTCCTGGCTAAGATAATTAAGGGTGCTATGATATAGTTTAGCAGAGACTTAGTTTTACGGTGATACCCTCCAAATGTGCTATAAAGTGCCTTAAAAACCCCGTATATCTGCATGAAGGAGCACCCCACCTGTAACACTTCACCTGTTAACATGGAATTTCACTGGAGGCTGTACTTGAAGATCTAAGCTAAACATTTACGACATTCTGTAATGGCTACCCTGCAAAGTAGTGTCCAAATCTTAAAATGTTCCCTGGGAAATTCATTCTATAAGCTCTCAAATTTATCTGCAGGTAGGATTATACTAATGGGTTTACCCTTTTTCACTTGTCTGTTACTTGTTATAATAAGTGCTTCAGTTAAGCCATTGTTTGACAAGGTGTGCCGCAAACTTTTCCCCAACAGCTTGATCTTTGGAAATGATTGTCAAAGCGCCTATGGGCTAAAGTGGGGGTAGAGATCAAAACTCAACCCCATCACTCTTAGAAGGGCACCTTGGGGAAAAAAACACTGCATTGTCAAATTGTGCTTCCAACAGACATAGGACAGAAAGGCTGTTTTGTTGGTCCCTTTGAAGGGGATGCTAGTGAAGTTTATTCATAGAAGTCTTGGTTAAAAAAATATATAATAATGCCCATCTCTTCAATGATTATGCTGCTCTTGAAGAGAGGGAGCCTGGGAAAAGAGACTCTAGGAATTATGTGATACCCTTTCACATGCCAACAAAAGATTATAAATTGTAGTACCAATGGGTCCTTTGCTGGCACCTGCTGTGCATTCAAGAATTGATTCTGACACCAAATATGAAGGTAGCACATCCCCTACATGTTAAAGCCTTAGCCCCAGAGCACTAGCCCCACTCCAGTAGCCAGACAGTTGGATTCAAGATGGGCCTCAATTCTGTCTGGCCAGATATACATTTGGAAAATCTTATAGTCCCTTTCATCAGTTCAATGATATTTTAAAAACAAAAACAAAACAAAACAAAACAAAAAACTTCTAGACCCCAGGAAAAGGACACTCACTGCTTAAGATAAAAGATGCAAGTCAGAAAGAAGATAGGTCATGGATACATAGGATAAAGGATGAGGCTTACCAGCCTCCACAGAGGTGTTTGCTGACCCAGAAACTCAGTCCATTGTTTGGGAAGTTCGTGGCGATTTCCTTACATAGGCATGTTAGATGAAACTGATGGTCATTTGTAATAGAACTGTGTGACTCCAGGCTCTCCTCTCTTCCCCAAGGATAGGGATATTATATACAAGTTCTACCTCTCTGATCATATGGTTGAGTTTTTCTGGCTGCCAGCTTTTATCCTGAAGTTATCCAGGGCCCTTTTCTGCCATGACTCATCTCATTAGCATACAAAAGACTGCTCTGTGCCAGGGACCATCGACAAAAACCACACACATATATTCCTGATGAGGCACGGCTTCAATCCATGCTGGTACCCACAATGGGCTCTGAACTGTTTTTACTCTCTCTATGTCGCCTTTAGCCAGAGCTGTTCCCGAGGGATTTTCATTTTGCAAAATAATTTGGCATTTACAGATAATTTACCAAACCATTTGTTTCCATACAGAGGAAGTCATGCTTGCTGAAGAAAATAAAAACTCTGGAACGTCAGCCTTGGAAGGTAAGGAAGCGCAGCGAGCTGGGCTTCATTAGTATCTGCCCTCTTAGGTGGTGGCAGTCTTTCTTGAACAAAGAGGAGAAAGAAAGAAGAGGGGGGGGGCAACACTGGGATTTGAAACACCAGTTTCTCTGTAATAAAACCCCTCATGCTTTAAAATGACGAGAATTGAGTCATGGATTTAAATGCCTTTTAAAGTGATGGAAATGAAACCCAAGAGTTGCATTGTTCCAGGGCATGTGATTGATAGAGCTCAATGAAAAGACCATCATACAACCGATGGTCTATGAAGGGATCGTCTTTTAAAATGTATGGGGATCATCTTGGGACCACTTTCATTCCCGGGAAGTGCCACTGTTTATAAAGAGCCAGAACAAATAGATAGGGAGGGTCTGTTTACGCACTGCATATAGATTTAGATAAACTCCAGCTGGGATTCAAAACCTATGAGCATCCGCAGGTGCTGGCAAGCACAGCACTGCCGTTCTGTAGACTCTTCAGATTCCTAGCACCCTGGCTCCAGTATTTAAAGCCGACACCTGTGTCACAGGGCCCTTGCGCAAGGCCTCTTGCCCACAGCCCTCAAAGTTTTGTCCAGGATGATCTGGGTGTACTTATGGCCTCTCACTGGCCTTCCCCTTCCCTGGCGTAGTGCTTCGAAGGGCAACTATCAAAAGGAGCCGGACGGAGGCCATGACCCGAGACTCCAGCGATGAGCACTGCGTTGATATCTCTTCTGTGGGTGAGTGATCCAGTTAGATCTTCTTTTCCTTCTCTGGATCTCCCATGAAAATGAAGATCCTGTCTTTTGAGAAGACCCACAAGGAGGAAAAAGAACCCAAAGGATCCAGAATTTAGGGACATAATTAAGGGAAGGCATGGGATTCTAACCTAGATGACAATGATTTACAGAAAAGACAAAAGGACCAGGGGATGCTGTGTATGTACATGAAACTCGGGGATTAGGGTTCTTCAAGTGTGACAGATGGATCTCATTTGCAGATGTATCCTCTCTCTCTCTCTCTCTCTCTCTCCTGGGTGTGACAGTGAGAACCCACGTTGGGATACAGATTGAGTATCCCTAATCTAAAAATCCAAAATCTGAACTGCTCCAGAATTAGACATTTATTTATTTATATTTTTTTTAAAACAACGCTGTGGCAACGCAAGTGGAAAATTCCACACCATGAAACTTTGGTTTCTCCCACAAAGTTATTTAAAATATTACATAAAGTTACCTTCAGCCTATGCATAGAAGATGTGTCTGAAACATGAGTGAATTTTACTCGTAGACATGGATCGCCACCTCCAAGATACTTTATCATATGCAACCCATAGTGTAATAGCTAAAATAGTGCCCTAAAATCTGAACTTCTTCCGGTCCATATATTTTGGATAAGGGATACTCAATCCATATTTTCCAAGGATCCTCGGGACCTGTTTCTTCTAGTGACCCACATGGGAGAAGTCGCAGCCATTTCTTAACCATAGTAGCACCCAACCTCCATCCCGTGAAATTTAAATGGATTCCTTTTTAACAACCCGCTGATATGACTACAGTTCAATCCTAGGTTCTTTTACAGATTCTGGCTGATGACAGGAATTTTCCTCCCCAGAAAAAAGGGCAAGATCTCACTCCATCCTAAAAAACAGAAGAGACTTACAGAGCCCATTGCTGCTTTACGTTGCCAGAGGCAGAAATATCACAAATGCAGCAGGAGGATTCCGGTGTCTGCAGCATATTTAAAAGGGAAGGGCAGAGAGAAGCCCGATCTCTTACAGATATAAACACGATCCTGTTAGGATTCCAGATGCTGGGTGTGTCTGCCTGGTGTCCTGCTTGGGAATCTTTCAGTTTCCTAGGACTTGAGAGTACCTGGAGAGGAGAAGCAGGGTTTCTTCCTGTGGAGATTACTTAGCCCAAAACATAGGGGTTGCCCAGGTCTACAATGTGGCCGTCACCTTGCCCGGCTACTCAAGCTGTCCAACTTGCCCTTTGGATGCACCTGATCATGGAGGGTAAGCCTGGGCTGTTTTTGTAGTCTCATTCATCTTCATTTCCCTTCCTTAGGGACACCCCTTGCCAGAGCCAGCATCAAGAGCACGAAGGTAGACGGCGCCTCCTATTTCCGGCACAAGGAACGACTTCTGCGGATCTCCATCCGCCACATGGTCAAATCCCAAGTGTTTTACTGGCTCGTCCTGAGTGTTGTGGCGCTCAACACTGCCTGTGTGGCCATTGTCCATCATAACCAGCCCCAGTGGCTCACTCACCTCCTCTGTAAGTGAACAGCAAGTGCTAGCTCCTCAAGCGGGTGGCTTGGTTTTGTGTGTGGATGACTGAAAGGGCGTAAGGCATGCTAACCGTTCACACTGAAGGAGGCCAACCTGCTGCAAGGGAGGATGCATTCTCAAACTACCGCTCATAGCCTTCGTTATCAGGTGGCGTAAATGATCACTGCTGGTGTTTAACAGCACCACAACAATGATAACAATAGGTTGGGGTTGTACCTTGGGTCCTAGAAGTTTCTTATAAGGGTTCAGTGGTATAAAAGTTTTGAATCACCAAGAGCTGGGGGAAAAGCCCTGAGAATAATGGATACATTAAATGGAACCAAAAAGGAACAAACATATTAAGTCTGTCTGCCTCAGAGTCTGAGTGATGGCCAGGAGACTGCAACGCCTCGTTGTATAGAGAGTAATACGCAGTTCCATCAGCAAAGCCAGAGTCGAGACTTGTCTTCTCTGAAGGCCGCCCTCTACTTGAAGGCCATTGATAACCCTCCTATCACTAAAGCGCAACTGTTGGTTGGGCCAGGGGCTCATCATAGCTCAAAGTGCTCAGAAATTAGGCTTTTCCCAATGCTTACTTCTTACACGCTGGGTTATGAGGCTCCTCTATAAGGGGTGTATATTAGTTGGAGAATGGAGGAGCTCATACCATCCCTGGATTACCAAAATGGTAATCATTTTACCACCCAAAAGTAAAATGATTCTACTTTTACCTCTTACAGACTATGCAGAATTTTTGTTTCTGGGACTCTTCCTGTTGGAGATGTCCCTGAAGATGTATGGCATGGGGCCACGCCTTTATTTCCACTCGTCATTCAACTGCTTTGATTTTGGGGTAAGTCTTCGGAACCCCTCTGTCCTTCTGTTTCATGTTGCTAGGCCACGGTTTTAGATAAGCAGCTTGGCCTGTCACTCAGCATGAGCCATTGAAGTCAGAAATTATAAAGGGAGCAGGGGTATGATGAGATAAAGGGAGTCCAAAAGTGAATGAATCCTTGCCAGGCAAGGATTTGTTTGGTTTTTTAAAACCCCTTTGAGTTTTAGTGTTTTTATTGGTGTATAACACATATACTAAAGAGTGTATATTTAACTATATAGCTCAATGAGATTTTACAAAGCTACTCATAGCCAGCATTTTGAACCACTTATTATCTTGGGTGAAGTCTGGGAGAGAAGGACAAAGGACTTAATTCTAGAGGTAGCTGTGGAAGAAAGAGGTTATACATTTGTTTATTTCCTACTTCAGTTTAAAATGAGCATAATTGTCCAGATATGCCCTCATATGAACTCAAACAGTCTTGTGTTAGCACGACTCCATGCAGAACATTTCATCCAGCTGTTTACCTTCTGTATAATATTTAAGTGTGTGTCTTGTTTAGTAGTGTTCAAGGTGCATTCAGACACATTTATTTCCTGTGCTGCTTACAGGAGTCCTGTACAAGACACAAGGTGTTAGGAGTTATCCTGTCTTTCCACATAAAGCTATAGAGACTGCACTGCTCAGCCCACATACCTGGTTTTGCAGTGGAACTAAGTGGCAGGGCCCAAGGTTTCTGAGCCTCCTCTCTTTCTGCCAAACCCATTTCTTTTTCTGCCAAAGCTCTAGTCAGGTGATAAAGACACTGAGCACTTGCCAATCTACATTTTCACCAAGAACAGACGGTTCTGAGTACAGGCAATTTTCAGGCCTAATAGCTAGTGAGAGACCATTTTAACCTTGCTTTTCTCATATACATATTTCCCGGCATTGCTTTGAGGACCCATTTTCATTATTTCTCCCAGCCCAATGCCTACAGCACAGTCAACATTCCATAAGTGTATAATTATAACGTAATGCAGAGCCAGCCAAAGTGGCATGGTTCTGTACTCCTAAGTCTCAGGAGAGTGAAGCCAAAGGATCCCAAGCTTGAGGCCGGCTTTGGCTGTGTAGCAAATTACAGGCTGACCTGAACTGTATAGTGAACCTCTGTTTCAGGGAGCAAAAGTTGGGAGGCTACAGAGATGACTTAGTGGTTGGGGGTACTTACTGTCCTATCAAAGACCTACACTTGGGCATCTAGCACGCATGTCAGGTAGCTCACAACGACCTATGATTCTAGCTCTAGAGGGACCCTATGTTCCTCTGAATCGCCTGCATTCACATGTACACCTGCACATACCCATAACTGAAAGTAATAAAAATAACTGCAGACACTGCAGCCTTTGAAGGTATACAGTCGACAGATCACTTGCCTTGCGTGTGCGGAGAAGGCCCTGGGTTCTGTTCTAATTCCCATAAACAACAACAGCCTTGAAACGTTAATTGCAATTACGACTTCCAAAGCAATCAGACTCTATGTCAACAAAGACACTATTGCATCGAGGATTGTGGGGCCTCAGTTCCTGAAAGATAGTTAACATAACAGCACCAAAATGTTCTGAGCAGAGCTATAGAATGGAGCCATGAGAGAATTTGGACCCTTCCTGAGATTTCCATTGGAACACAACCTGGACTAACTCAAACTGGTTTCTATTACTTAGGAAGCACTCCTTTGTCTGTGTATCCAAGGAGATATGACACAAATTTGTGCAAAAATAGTGGCTGGGTACTGTAATTTTGCTAAGGCCAAGTCAGGAAGGCAATGTTCACTGAGCTGATTTAAAGTTAAGAGAAGAGCAGGAGCTCAGGGAGGGGAGGCTGTCTGTTTGTTGTTTTGTTTTGTAGCCATTTTTCTTTGGTAACTTCTCAAGTCTGATAGCCTGATTAGAGTTAGGGCTGGCTGGGTAGGAGGAATCTCAATTTTACCAGAGGCTAATGAGAGCTGGTGATTATGTACTAAGTACCAAGATGCTTCTGTGTTCTCGCTCTCTCTTCTCACTGTGGCTGGGTTTGTCTTATAGGTCACAGTGGGCAGTATCTTTGAGGTTGTCTGGGCAATCTTCAGACCTGGTACCTCTTTTGGAATCAGTGTCCTACGAGCTCTCCGGCTCCTAAGGATATTTAAAGTAACCAAGTAAGTGATGACGTCTGGACTTTTCCCACCCCCTTTAAGGACTGAACTTGTGTTCCCTTCTCTTCCTGGCTTTCTTGCTCTCTGCTTCATCTCTCACACTCTTCAGATCTCACTTCCCCAAAGGCAAAAGTAGAAAACTGTCAGTGACAACATGCTGAGTGCCACATTTCCCAAGGGAGGATCAAACTGTTTCCACGCCATCTTCCCAGATGCACAAAGGCAGTTGATCCCAGACTTATAGGCAGATGGCCAGCTGACCCTGGGGATGAGTGGTACTGTACCTGTAACTGTACCTTACCACACCTGTAACCTTGTCTTGGTTGCCCAGGTATTGGGCATCCCTCCGGAATCTGGTTGTCTCCTTGATGAGCTCCATGAAGTCTATCATCAGCTTGCTCTTCCTCCTCTTCCTCTTCATCGTTGTCTTCGCTCTCCTAGGAATGCAGCTCTTCGGAGGCAGGTGAGGACCAGGGTGCTTTCCATCAAAAGGATTAGCCTCAGGCCTGGAAGTATCAAGGTGATTGATTGGACTTGTTACCATCTTGTTTGCTCTTGGCCTAAATAGTCTGCTGATGAACTTGAGAGACAAATGTCTCTGCTATTAATATAGATGCTGAAAATTGTTCTTGTTGGGGACCTGTTTCTTTGAAGCTCTCTGTGAAATGATCAATACGGAACTCTGTAACTGCTGATCAGCCCAGACTTTGTCTTTTGACTTATGGATTTCAAAGCTCACAATTTTTTTTCAGAAATGGGTGCTACCGTCTTTATAGAGCATATAGAATAGAGATCAGTAGGGGGAGGGGAAATGGGGAGAAAAGAGAAGTGATGAAAACTACAATCTTGAGTCTAAGAAACTTGGTAAATGAGATTTCTGTTCTCCCTGAATTTCCTCTTCAGGTTTAATTTTAATGATGGGACTCCTTCGGCTAATTTTGATACCTTCCCTGCAGCTATAATGACAGTGTTCCAGGTATGAAGCCAACTGGTAGCTCAGAAGTACTATGTGGGGCTCATAGACCACACAGGGCAAGAAGGCAATGTCTTGAGTGCTAGGGCTTCTGTTTTCCTTCAAAGATTCCATCTCAGAGAAAGAGCAGTGTTCCACCTTTTGAGGAATTATTACATACCTCCTCAAACCTCCGTGCCTCTGCTACTACCAGAAAAAGGGCTTTAGCACAACCATCTAGTTGGTCTTATCCCCACACTCGTGAGTTTGCAAGACATCAAGTCTGGGACATTCTGTCACAAGTTTCATTTGCAGTTTGTCTAAAATCTAAAGTATTTCCTGACCTATATTCAGTTTAATGAGGTAATGGGATATCATTCCACCACCATCTCAAAATGGTAGGAAAAATTAAAAAAAAATAAATCAGAAGGAAAACTCAACATCAATAGTATTTTAGAATCTTTCAGATGGAAAGAAATGCTGCTTAGGCAGAATATTAGGCTGAATCAGAACCTAGTGCCCAAACCAGAACCACTGTCTTTCATCAGTAATGCTGCTGTCTTGGGAATGATCTGTTGTCATCCCTGGAAGCAGTCAGGTAGTGAGTAGACCAGCAGACCTGTGGGATTCTCACAAAGCCTGGACAACCTGGAGGTTGGGGGTGGGGGAACTCTGAAATATGAGGACTGAGAGTAGTTCTTCTTGTTCTCTTTCCATGTTGAATGTCCATAATTCTCTTCTATATAAAAATAGGTGTATTTATAGAATGGGTTTCTCCCCTACCTTAGCTGGAAGTCAAGCAAGGGGATAGACAGAAAAGATCCAGCCCTGATATTTCGTCCTTCACATTGAACCCATCTTTTCTGCTAACCCATTGCCTTGACCTGCATGTTGTTTTCCCCACATAGATCCTGACAGGGGAAGACTGGAATGAGGTCATGTACAATGGCATCCGCTCCCAGGGCGGGGTCAGCTCAGGCATGTGGTCTGCCATCTACTTTATTGTGCTCACCTTGTTTGGAAACTGTATCCTCTTATGTTGTTCTTCTTTATTCTGGACACTAACAGAATTTGAGAAGATGGTGGCTGTGGTAGTGGGGATGGGGATGGGGATGGTGGCGGTGGAGGTGGGAATAGTGGTGTTGGTGATGATGATGGTAATAGCAATTGTGGTGGAGATGGTGGTGGTGAGGATGGTGACAATGGTGGTGGTGGGGATGGTAGGGATAATGGTGATAGAGCTTGAGTAGGAAAGGTGGGAGGTGATAGGCAATGCTTACTTATACTATTTTCATTTTGAGCAATCTTTATGCTAATTCTGCTAAAAGAATAAAAGCATTAAAAAGATACAATTGCCTAAATCTTCAGAACATATAACTAATAAACTATGTTAAATGGCTGGAGAGACTACAAAGTCTGTAAAATATGTGAGGCCTGAGATCACTGTATACTGAAATAATGGACAGATGGTAGTACTAGTGACTTAATTACATCAGATATATCAGAGCTTAGCATGCCATACAATTTCAAATAAATATAAGGACCATAATACTAATACCATTAAGTATTAGTAGTTACTGTATTGATGTTATGTGTGAAAGCTTTTTTGCTGTATAGACTGTTTTGCCTATTCCTTACCTAGTAAGACAAAAGAAAACACCAGAGCACACCAAATCAATACAAAACTGTAAAGGAAGAGTAACAGTGGAATTCTGTGACTCCAAGTCTTGTACCTCACATTCTAGTTTCTATTCTGTTGTTGAGGGGAGAATACCCTGATGAAAGCAAGTTGAAGGAGGAAAGAGGCCACCTCAGCTCACAGCTCCAGGCTGTGGTCCATCACAATGAGGAGGGCAATGCAGCAGAAACTTGAGTTAGCTCATCACATCACATGGTCAAGAGCAGAGAGGGATGAAAGCTATTTCAAGCTTCTCTGCTACGGTGGCCTGTAACCTGGCATTGGAAGCTAAAGTAAGCCCCACTTTTGCCAGTGTAGTTGATCATAGCAACGGGAACAAGACTAAGACACTGATCAAAAAACATCTAGGCCAGGAAGACTGAGGCTTGGATTCTTGGAACACTCTTCATCAGCTTAGATGTGTGGTCTTAAAAAAAAAAAAATCACTTGCTCTTTCTGAGATTTTGTTTTCATATCCCATAGGAGGATGACGGTATCTCTTTTACTAATTGCAAACATTGAATGGAATAATTATTAAATGAATCTTTTTTCTTTTCGAAGCAGGGTCTCACTATATGGCTTTGGCTGTTCTGGAATTCATGATAGAGACCAGGCTGGCCTCAAACTCACAGAGATCTGCCTGCCTCTGCCGCCCAAGTGCTTGGATTAAAGGCATGCACCACTCTGCTTGGCTTAAATGCATCTTAGAACAATTAATATTTGTATAATCATTAGGTATCTGGAGGAATGAAGCTCACCTTGAGTTGGACTGTAGAGCACAGAGGGGCACCCTAAGGTGGCTGAATTTTGTATATAGCCTCACAGAGAAAAGATGTTCTTTTTGTCAAATCCCCTGCATATTCACTTCTAGTGGTGGGAACGAACAGACTATAAACTAGATGTAAGGAAGGCATGGGGAGAAGCTATCTGATATGTCACAGAAAAGGAGGGCTGGTTTGTCACGATGGCAGCCCCTTGCTTGTTCTGCTACTCTGTAAGTAGGCAGAGCCATCCTTTGATGCTAGAACCAGTTTCATGTTCTACAACATATGGGCCTCAAACAAAGAAGACTGGGATGTCAGGAGTTAGAGCATCTAATAGAAGTTTATTTCACAATGAGTCATGTCCATACTATGACATTTGCCAAATGAATCCCAGAAACTCTCTGGGACCCTAGCACAAAGAATGAGAAAAGTCGGTGCCCCATTATAAAAAGCTACTAGACTCGTTTCCTTCTGTTTTTGAGAAAAGAGTAGCAGGGTGCCCATTGGTATAAGTGGGATTCCAGCCTTCCAGGAAGGAGAGATGAGTCCTAACACTCAGTTCCCTGCACATCTTGTTCAATGATACTCTTGTTGCCAATTCCTATTCATTGAGGCCATAGCTGTCTGAAGGTATTTTCACCTTATTTGCCCTCCCAAGTTGGTTTGTTTCAAGAATTATTTTTCTTCTATGTAAGGAGGGAAAATGTAGAAGGAGGGAAGACATAATACCCTCTTTCTTCTCTTGTGACCTTTGGCAGCTCCTTCCAGTGTTCAGACAGGCAGGTCCTGGAGGTAACCTCAGAGACTTGCTGAAGACTTTTTCTTCTCTTGCCTGCCCATCCTTAACCCATACCCACAGACACACTGCTGAACGTGTTCTTGGCCATCGCTGTGGACAACCTGGCAAATGCCCAGGAATTGACCAAGGTAAGCACTAGCTTCCAAGAGGGTCTTTTTTAGAAGCTTTTAGATGGTTGGAGAGCCACAACCCCATGCAGGAAGCCTGGTTTGCTTTCACTGGGTTTATGAGCTTTCTTTCAGCTCTGTTCTCTCAGAGGACATACACAATATCAATTTATCTCTGTGAGTCTTCCCAAAGGTCCTTCGCAGAATTATGGAATGCAGAGCCAAGGAAAATATTTGAACTCTGAATTTTAAGCTCTGCCTTTGCTACTGTCACCTGTGGTGGCATTATGACCTCAGCTATGTGACTAACTCCTCAACAGCTCAGGTGTGAGAATAGTCAAGGGTACTGGGACTCCTGCACTATGGCTGCCAGGGATCATCCATTGGCCATGATCAAGAAATGGTTTTATTAAACTATATACTACCTTTCTCAAAGAGATAGCTCTTTTTTTCATGGGATTCTTCACTCCTGGGGAGGAGATTGTATTAATTGCAATGGGGTGGTTTGCAAAATAGGAAGAAAAAAAAAATCTTGCCACACAAATTTGGTTTTAGGAAGGTCCACAACATCTCAAAGTTTTCTGAACCTTTTCTGCTGGACTTGTGATGCATTGCCTGCTTTTCCCCACATCTCTTAGAACCCTCATCCCTATAATATAAGAAGGAAACTACTAGTTGTAGTATGTGAAAAACTGGCTTTGAGTCCTACATCTGTCAGTCACTGGCTGTGTTAGCCTTGGGGAAAGCACTGGTCTCCATTGATACCAGTTTTCTCAGCTGTAAGAAAGGAAAGACATATCTGCCTGTGTTTTCTCACAGCATCACAGCAAAAGCCAAATGAAATACTGTGTGTGGAAACCATAGCCTACTAGGAGGAGATGTATATTATAATACTTCTTAGTCACAACCTGGGCAGCTTTCCTTGGTGTCATCACTTCAAACAAGAATATAGCTGAGGTAGGGCTGGAGAGATGTCACAGCAGTTAAAAGTGTTCAGTGCTCTTCCAGAGAGCCCAACTTTGGTTCTAAGAGCCATATGGAGTAGCACACAACTGCTTATAACTCCAGTTCCAAGAAAATCCAATGCCCTCTTCTGGTTTCCATGGGAACTTACACCTCTCTTTCTCTTAAAACACATAAAAATATGGGTGAAGAAGTAAGACCTCTGCCTAGGAGCCCATAAGCCATGTATGGGAGACTCCATGACAGGCTTATATATTTCCTTTTGCTTACATCATCTTGCTTGGTCTTCAGAGCTCCTGGGGAAGATCAAAGGGGCCTATCCTCCTATGGCAAGCCCAGGTAAAGCCATTTCTGCTTTGTATCTAGGATGAGCAGGAGGAAGAGGAAGCCTTCAACCAGAAACATGCACTGCAGAAGGCCAAGGAGGTCAGCCCGATGTCTGCTCCCAACATGCCTTCCATTGAGTGAGTAGGCCATCTAAACTGACACTGGGCTTTTGGGGATAAATCTAATTCATCCATGTCTACAATAATCAGTTGTAGGAAGGTACCTCCTCTGTTTCATGAACTGTTCACTGTACATAGGACAGTGTTTACAGGGCATATAATAGGAATAGATAATGGACATCGCTCAGGTAAATCTCAGAGGGACCCTCTGTGCAAATAGAAACGAAAACATACAAGAGGCAGTTGTGTGATGTTCTGAAGGAACTTTCCCTCAGCAAGGTCCATTATGGCTTATAGAAACTGAGGGGATGGAAGATAGTGAGGCCAGTGTATTGGCATGAGCCAGTGTAGAGGTCCTAACCCCATGGGAAGAATTTAGCATTTATTTACATGGAAATCATGGGAATACTTAACACGGAAGGATGTAGAGTATGGTTTTCACTTTAAAGTATCACTCTGCTCTGTGGAAAATGGTTTGTGGGGCCCAGTACAGCAGCAGTGAGACACAGCTGGCTGTTAGAGTAAAGTAGGTGATGACGAGTTAGACAAGGAAGGTAGCAAACAGAAGAAATGACAGTTCTGTTTATGTTTTGGAATGGGAGCCAATGGGAGACATTTGTGTATTAAATGCAGTAGGGGTAATAAAAATTTCTCAGCAGTTTTATAGTTTTGGGGCCTAAACAGCTGCCTGGAGGGTGAGAACATTTGTTGATACTTTAGAGACAGTGGAACTCCAGGTTCATTTTGGCCACATTGAATGTGAAATGCCTCTAAGGCATCCAAGTGTGTGAATAGGCTATTGGTTACATGAGTTTGGATCGTAGAGGAGAAGTTGGGATTAAAATAAAGATTTGGGGGAAGTCATTTGCATTTAGATGGTATTTAAGCCATCAGTGTGGGTGAGATGACCCAGGAAGAGTAAGGACATGGAAAGAGTGGAGCTGAGGACAGAGGCTGAGCATGCGCTAATCTGGCAGAGGAGAAGCAGGAGAAAGAGGCAGGGGCATGTAGCCAGGGGATACGGAAGGAACAGAAGAGCATGATGTCCTGGAAGCCTGTATCAGAGGTGGTACTGGCAACGTGTGCTATTGAAGGACTACTGCTTCCAATGGGGACAGAGAAGGAACCACTGGATTTGGCAAAACAGAAGCTATTTTTGTGGCCTCGCTAGTAGCCTGGTGGGAATAGTGTCCAGATGGAACAGATTTGAGAGTGAATGAGAGCTTGATATGGAAGAGAGATAAGATCACTCTGATCAGTGCTCCATGGGAGAACTTGGGGAGTCAGCATAGGCCCAGCACAGGCCAGGCCTCTGCACAGTAAATGGGGGCAGTTGGTGGAAGAGAACCATAGAATTTCCTGATGATAATTAAGGCATTCATGAGGCCTGTGTGCAAGATCCTGTCATGTCTGTGGAGACAGTGGTAACCCATTGAGAAATAGAAATATATCCTAGGCTACTGGCCCCTGTCAGCCATTACTTAAAGCTGGAGAGAGTGAAGTCCTTGGTGGGCCAGTTTTTGGAAGGGAGGAACTTCTGAGCAGCCTCTGTCTCACCATTGGGGTGCTCCCCATTTTATGTGGTCACCCCCTTATCTATTTTACTATTGGTTTGCATTTGCTTTTCAAAGCTGGGAAGGCCTCCCATCTAAGTCTGTTCTCTGTGAATATGAGAAAAATAATAATAATTAAAGATTGATTGGGGAATACCAAACAACCTCCTTTTCAGAATATCCTCTGGTCTTGAGTAATTTCCAACCTGATCCTCTGAACTCAAAAACTTTGGCGAAAACCACATACACACAGGTATCCAAAAATGCAGATGGAGCGGACTGTCTGTTGCCAGGAGTGGGTGGTTCTATTTACTGAGATGAGGAAGCCGGGGGGGGGGGGGGGGGAGAAGAGGGCTTAGAGAGATGTGATTGGAGATGATACTTGGCCCAGAGTAGAAACTATTCATGGAATGGAAGAATGAATGAAATGTGGGTAGGCACGGGGCTGTGGGAACCTAGTCGTGCACATCAGTGGAGAGTGAAGGTGAAGCAGGTTCAGCAAGCATCCGCAGTAAGATGACACCAGGGCTTTGGTTACCGTCCACATGCCATGTGGTATCTACTGCTTCTAGGGGTGATCTCAGGGGATAGGTGCCTTGCTGGGGTGTCTAGCTCAGACAGTGGATTTCTGGTAAGTGCAAAGGTGGCTGCCATGGAAAGAGCATCATTACAAACCCAAGTGTCCCAGTGTTAGCCCTAATTCTGTCCATCACATGCTCTGTGGCCTTAAAGAGAACTCACTTAGCACCTCAGAGCCTCGGTCTCCCCACGTTTGGAATGAGAAGGACCCTCACTCTTTTTGCTTTACAGGGTTATTATGGGGTCTACACAAGCTCACATGCCCATGAGTTGGAGTTAGCGACTACTTGTCTGTGTGGTTTTGGGGTATGACTGCAAATTTAGAATGTTACCTACATGAGCAGAGAGGTGAAGTCAAGCATCAAGTATATGTCTGCCTGTATGAGAAAGATCAGCGTCTCTTGCTTGGCCTGTGTATGTGTGTGTGTGAGAGAGAGAGAGACAGAGAGACAGAGAGAGAGAGAATGCATTGTGTGAGGAAGCCAATGTGTGCATGATAGAAATAGAAAGTGTATGTGTAAGAAAAAAAAAGGATGTGAGAAAGTGTTAGAAAGACAGAATGTGTGTGTCTGAGAGAGAGAGAGACTCCTTCCACCTTCCATATACTTACACATGCTCCTGGAGGGCTGGTATTTGAATCCTTGAGCATGTGCAAGTAGAGGATACGATATGCTTCTCCCAGTAGGTGCACGCTGCCTGCCTAGAGTGGATGCTTCTATTTCAGTACGCTGCCCCTGCCCCCAACTCCACCCCGTGCCCTGCCGTAGGCTAGGATGCTGATGAGGAGGGATATGCACTTTGTCCGGGAGCTCACGACATCTCCACCGTGATGGCTATATCAATGAGTGTTTGTGTGCACCCATGCGCATTTGTGCTTCTTCCGGGTACTCCCAAAGAGGCTTAGACTGGCTGCCCCTGCTTCCTCTGCCCTGCCCTTGTATGAGGCCCCTTTCCCAATGCATGAGGTGTGGCAGTAGATCAGAGTCCATTTGCCTGGCATGTTTTGCACGATGAGGGTCTTCTCAGACAAGGAACATCATTTACCTGTTTGCCGCACCCAGCAGGGCTCCCTGGGGCTAGAACAGGGTCCTCCAGCTCAGGGGCTCGAACAGGCTCAGTCTGGGAATATCTCAGATGCGTTGCTCTCCACCCTAGCTTTTGGCCCTGTGCTGATACACTCCTTTCGACTTTGGCAGCTTACATCTATGCCATTACTCTGATCATCCCTTAAACTTGCATTTGGAAGGACACATTGTGTATGTGGAAGTAATATTTCTTTAAACCAGTCTAAGAAGATCAATTCTGTGTTTCAGCCAGCAGAATAGGGCAAACCTTGAGGGCCTCTCATTTAGGGCAGCACTCACAATCCTGTGGTCTCTGAAGTGTGGCCCTGTGGCCTCTGAAGTTTGGCCTCGTGGCCTTTGAAGTTTGGCCCTGTCCTTGGCCTTGGGCTACTCTGTAACCCCACTGGTGTGCATGGCAGAGCATTTGTTTCTTCCGTGTGCCATAAAATTGATCCAGGATCTGCTATGGGAGTGATGAGCTTGGGAGTCCCCCCTGGGTGAATGCACTTTGTTAACCTTGAAATGACTGCGGAGGGGGAGGCAAGCGCTCATGGATATAGGACGCTGGAGGGTGGCAGTGTGAGGTCAGTGGGGGCATGGTCTATTAGAAGGTCTATTCTACATGAAATAGCCTGTCCCCTGGGGCTCTGCATGTGTGCTTCAGAATCAAGATCTGTGTATGTGCACATAGCAAGGACTCGGAAGTCACGGTGGAAGCCCTGTACGTGGGGAGGCCACAGGGGGCAGACAGATGCATGGAAGCCCCGGTGGACATGCAGAAGACTCCGGCTTCCCTCTGGACATCTGCTGGTGGCTGTGGGGCTGGTGGGTTCTAGAGGTCGGGGTGGACTGAACCTGTTCGTTTTTCTTCCCCAGAAGAGACAGAAGGAGAAGACACCACATGTCGATGTGGGAGCCGCGCAGCAGCCACCTGTATGTGTGTACGGGTCTGCGTGTTTGGGAGTGGTTCCGTGTGGGCATGGGGACCATGTGTTCTTGTCCTTACCGTGGACAAAGTGACAAAGCGCGCCTGGGTGTGTGGGTGTGTACGCGCGCGTTCCCCCTGCACATCCGTGGACGTGGCCCTCTGCACCTCTCAGCGTGTTCTCTTCTCTCAGTGTGTCTACAGTATGTGACAGTATGTTTGTTGGCTCTCGTGTCTGGCCTGAGAGTGGGCACGTGTTGTCATGGGTAATCAGTGCCGGTGGGGGTGTGCTTTCCACGTAGGCAGTTGTGTACATAGATGCGTGGGCTTCAGTGAAGGTGCGTGTGGGTCCATGTGCATATCTCTTTAACAGCTGGTGGGTGTGTGCCCACAGGCATGTGAGGGGAGGAGTAGGTGTCTGCCCTCCCAGCTGAGGAGCCCACGCCTGTGTTCTGTGTGCCGCGTTTTTGTGTACCTTGCCGCCATGTGAACACTCACTAGGCCTCTGAGCTGAAAGGTTCAACAGTAGTTTGGGTGTGAACTGCCGGTGGTCTCTCTGAAGAGAGTCTTTCGTGGGTTTCATTAGCTGTTGCTTTAGGAGCCCACGGTCCCCTTACTTTCCAGGGCTGCTGCCATTGTTACCACATGGGGCTGATTGCCACTGCCATTATCTTTACTGGTATCTGAACATGGCATGTCTCAGCCCATGATATTCCAGGCTCAAATCTGAGAGGGGTGGAGAGAGAAGGGGCACCTCTGGCCTTAAATGAAGGGCCATCGTAGGTATATAGAGAGACCTCAACTGATACCCTCAATCAAGGGAAGGCCCGGTGAGCCTCAGTACTGCCATTCTCACTGGTCTTGGGGACACTGAGCTCAGTCCTGGTTTGACCCATCCCTCACCACTTGGCCGCTGCACTGTAGAAGCAGGGACTGAAGTGAAAAATACCCTGTACAGGACTTGGAGATATCGGTCTGACATCTTCCTCATGTGTGGCCACTCTGCTCCTTACATCTCTGTGCTTCTTGTTTGGGATCTTGGCCTCCCATTTAGCTCCTTCGCCCTGTGACCCCTGCTCTTGGCCCCTGTAAGCTGCCATCTCTGAGCCTCACATGTACTACCAGGTTCTGACTGTAGCCCTCGCCCTTTCTCCTTTGTCAGGAGGGAGCGGAGGCGCCGGCACCACATGTCTGTGTGGGAACAGCGGACCAGCCAGCTGAGGAGACACATGCAAATGTCTAGCCAAGAAGCCCTCAACAAAGAAGAGGCCCCACCCATGAACCCTCTCAATCCACTCAATCCACTGAGCCCTCTCAACCCACTCAATGCTCACCCCAGCCTCTATCGGAGGCCCAGGCCCATTGAGGGCCTAGCCCTGGGCCTGGGTCTTGAGAAGTGTGAAGAGGAGCGCATTAGCCGTGGGGGTTCCCTCAAGGGAGATATAGGGGGCCTGACCAGTGCCCTGGACAACCAGAGGAGCCCCTTGTCCTTGGGCAAACGGGAGCCACCCTGGCTGGCCAGATCCTGTCATGGAAACTGTGACCCAACCCAGCAGGAGGCTGGGGGAGGAGAGACTGTGGTAACTTTTGAGGACCGGGCCAGGCACAGGCAGAGCCAGAGGCGCAGCCGGCATCGCCGAGTCAGGACAGAGGGCAAGGAGTCTGCCTCTGCCTCCCGGAGCAGGTCTGCTAGCCAGGAGCGGAGTCTGGACGAAGGGGTGTCCATTGATGGGGAGAAGGAACATGAACCTCAAAGCAGCCACAGAAGCAAGGAGCCGACCATCCATGAAGAGGAGAGAACCCAGGACTTACGGAGGTAAATGAGTCCCAGGAGGGCAGTGGAGGGATACAGCTCAGGACTGAGTGAGGAACTCTGTGATAGAAACTTTAATGCTCTCCAATATCCCCCTTTATAAGATGGAGAAGCTGTCAAAACACCATCTAAAAGGCATGGCTTAATTTAACAGGCATCCTATCCCTATGGAAATGATGCTCTATTCTGGAGCATCTTTGCTGAGAGTGGGGCCTGGATGGATGGGAATCAATCAATGGGCAAGGCCCACAGGTATCTGCCTCACTGTGTCTGGATGCGGGTCTAGCACATGCTGTATGTTCTCCAGCAGGCCCGCTCAGGCTCCTCTCCCCTTTTCCTTTTAGCCAGAAGCATCAGCCATTCTAGGATAGCTTCTGAAACATGGCCATCTTCTGCTCTTTATTCTCAGGACTAATAGTCTGATGGTATCCAGGGGCTCTGGACTGGTAGGAGCTCTTGATGAGGCAGAAACACCTCTGGTCCAGCCCCAGCCTGAGTTGGAAGTGGGGAAGGATGCAGTTCTGACAGAGCAGGAGGCTGAAGGCAGCAGCGAGCAGGCCTTGCTTGGGAATGTACAGCTGGACGTGGGCCGAGGCATTAGCCAGAGTGAGCCTGACCTCTCCTGCATGACAACCAATATGGACAAGGCTACCACTGAGAGCACCAGCGTCACGGTCGCCATCCCTGATGTGGATCCTTTGGTGGATTCAACAGTAGTGCACAGTGAGTATGGTTCCTGCTTTGTCAGACACACACACACACACACACACACACACACAGCTGGAGTTGGGGACAGCTGGCTCTGGGATCCCTCTAATAAAGTTCACTAGAAGGCCATCCCAGCAGGACTAACTTTTCACAGTCTAAACGCAGTGTTCTCCTGCAGAGGTAGTTTCCTTAACTTTAATTTTGTCCTGTAGAGTTTGGTCCTGTGAGTCTTCAGAGCGGTTACACGTGACTCTGTGAACAGTTAGATCCTTCTGTAATCTGATGGCATCCTTCTGCCCTCCTACACCCCCTGGGAGGACCCCCAGCTTGGATTGGCAGAATGGCTCTTGCCTCTGGTTCCTGCTCTGCGCAGTCAGCAGTCTCAGAGAGAGAGCCCTGCATCTTCGGAGGCCTCAATGTCTCATAGAACATGAGAGCACGGAGATGGGTGATCCCTGAAGGTCATCCCTGTGTTAACATTGCAAGCTTATTATTATCAATTTTCTCTCTCTGAGGAGCCCTCAATCACACTTCCCCATCAAAGTTCCTTCAAGCAGATGCCAGTCTGTGAAACACTGGCAGGAAACACAGGGGAAAAGCATTTAACCTACTACGCTCCTTGGCCCTGTACCTGCCTTTCCCTGAACGACACCTCACTCTTGCAGGCCTGTTATTCCTGTCCCCACCCTGACCACATATTTCATGTCTACATTAATCCCATGTCCTGTTCCTGCATTGTCCTACCCTGATCCCTGCCTTGTGCCTCATCTTTGCCCTACCCCTAACTCCCTTTCCTGTTTTAATCCCATTCCTTACCCTGGCCTGAACCCTGCACCCCCTGTGTTAACCCTGTATTAACCATGTACTTTCTTCCTATCCCTTCATGTCATCCCTACGTTAACCCCACACCATATGTGTGTGTGTGTATACATATAATCTGCTCCCTATTCTATCCTTGCACTAATCCCCAGCCTACCCTCCACCCCCACCCCCATCCCTGCATTAATCCCACTGCCCAGTGGTTATAGACTGTGGCCATGGGGTTCCATCAGTGCATGTTTTCTCCCTTTCCATACTCTTTCTTCTGTCATGGCACAGTGTCCTTGTCTCCCTGTCTGCCTCTCTACCGCTGTTTCCCTTCCGCTCTTACTTCACATTCTCCACCCTCAGAAACGCCAGATCTGCTTTAAAGAGTAAATCCCCCATGTCTAGTGCTTGCTGGGGTCGACTTGGGCATGTTTCAAGACTCTTTGCAGCCACTTGTAATGTCTGTCTGATTTTGTGCTTTTATTAAGTAAGAAGGGCTTTGGAGCCTCTTTTATGAGAAACAGTAGCTTAACCGTCTCTTTGTTCCCAGGATAGGGCTAGTTATGCCCTCTGTCACCAGTGATAAACACGCTTTTAGGTACATGCTATCGCTTAGGTACTACCATGGTGCAGGACCACTAAGTCTTGCTACTTAACCTGAGTCTCAGGGTAGTGCCAGTCCTTGGTCATAGAATGGTGGGGATAGGGTGGTTTCCCAGGCCTTCTCTTCACGCTGACAGACTTCTCCCTTGACTCGGGCGTAAAAGCAGAAAGTAACCACCTGACAGTGCTACATGACCTCTGGCTGTTTCATCCTCCCAGTCCTGGAACACAGTCATGGGCCTATATTCACATGAATATTGCATTCTCATTTCTATATTCATCATGCTGAAGAAGGTACAGTCAGAAAGGCAGTGTGCAGAGAGTAATGGTTTATTGAAATCTTCCACTGCAGAGATTTTTCTGAAGGCGTATAGGATTTCAAATTAGCTGTCTGACCTTAGGAAAAGGTACATAGATTCTCTGAACTTCAGTTTTTCTATCTGTATAATGGGAATAATAGCATATGCCACTTAGGGGTTATTGATATGAAAGCTCAATGGGTGATCTCAAAAAGAATGTGGAGTTTAGATGTGATTTCCAAATTGTGCAAGCATTGTAGCTGCAACAGTTATGCTGTTTCCTACATTGTAAAAGTTTAGCTGTAAAGGAGAAAATATGCTTATTATTTCTGTGACACAAAAGGCTATAGTATATAACATGGGCAAGAATAGGGGTGAGGAGAAGACGGACTTCACATAGTTCGGGGAAACCTGGGATGCTGTCAGAGAACCTTCCCAGGAGCATCCTTGGCATCCCCTTCTATCCTTGTGCCTATCCTCCTACTCTCTTGTGCCGTTCCCAACTGACAAGAGAAACCATGCATGTCAGCAGGTTTCTGAAGATTCAAACCTTTCTGCTTTCAGTTAGCAACAAGGCCGATGGAGAAGCCAGTCCCTTGAAGGAGGCGGAGAACAAAGAGGAGGAAGAAGAGGTGGAGAAGAAGAAGCAGAAGAAGGAGAAGCGGGAGACTGGCAAAGCCATGGTGCCTCATAGCTCTATGTTCATCTTCAGCACCACGAACCCGTGAGCCATGCTCTTGTTGTACCCCCATTTTGGCACTAGGACAGACATCCAGTATTTGAGTCAGCCTGGGATGATAGAGAGGAATTGGAGGAGCCCTGTCAACTTCCTGAGTCCTCCTGGCAGAGGGTAGCTAGATAGGGAAGCATTTGGAGGCCAGTAGGTGAGATAGGGCATTAAGCTGACCAGCCTCCCTTCCCTGTGCCAATAGTTTCCAGGGTAACACAAAACAGAATACAGGAGAAGTGTCATCCCTATCTCTGCCCTTTGCTTGGTAGTTAGGATAAGGGGAATGAAGAAAATCTCCATGAGGATGTCTTCAGACATTCTGGAAGAGGAAAGTCTATGGACCTCAAGATGGTCAGGCATCTACTGGAGTCTAGGGTTTTGGTACCACCATTCTGCACGTGGCGTTTTGAAAAGAGCTTCCCTTCCCAGAACAGCGGTAGCAACATGAAGAAGGAGCATTAGAGGAGAGTCTAGAATGTGAGATTCAAGAAACACGGGATTAAGAAAGAGCATGTGATATATGTCCTGGAACTGGCATATAGGTCAGCTTGCGAGAAAGGAAGACAAGGAGTCCGTCAGTGGCCATGTGGGCATCATTCAGGCAGGCCTGTGCGATGAGAGGAAGCCGGCTTAACGTGCCAGCTCATCCAAAGTTGTAGCATAGAATACAGGCATTTCCATCAGAACAGTCAGGGAGCCATGGAAACCGTTGTTCCTCATCGGGGGATTTAGAATCAAGATCAGTTTTTGTGTCTCTTGGTTCTTTATAATCCCCTAGGCAGGTCCTGGTTTTGTTGCTTAAGGCAGAAGACACTGAGATGCAGCAGAGGGCACCGCCTGCCGATGGAGGTTATGTAGTGTCATGCCTCTGTTCCTCATGGCTCACTCATGTGTGCAGATAATGAATCTCTAGGCTTGCACGACATAGCCTCTAACCGATCTGATTACTTTTCCCCACCACCAGGGCCTGAAACCAAATGGGTAGGGCTTGAGAAATTAAATTGTTCTCCCTCCTGGCTTCCTTTGGCAAGGGACTGGCTATCTGGAAGAGGCCAATGCCAGCTTATGGGAAGCCCAGGGCCAGGCGTGGGGACAGCACAGGGCGAGCTCAGCAGGGCGAGCTCAGCAGGATTCTCTCACCCGCAGGATCCGCAGAGCCTGCCACTACATTGTGAACCTGCGCTACTTTGAGATGTGTATCCTTCTGGTGATCGCGGCCAGCAGCATCGCCCTAGCAGCCGAGGACCCTGTGCTAACCAACTCAGAACGCAACAAAGTGGGTGCACAAGGGCAGCTTGCCAACTCTCTTGATGCCCTGGGGTCTCCTCTATCCCAAGCTCTCCCCTCCAGCGTCAGAGGTGGATCAAGATAGGGTAACAGGAAGGTTTCTGGAGATAAGGAAGTTGGAGAAAGTGTGCCTGTTCCTCAGAGATAAGTGCCAGCCACTTCCAGAGAAGCCGTGGCACCCACATCCGCACCACCATTTTTAAGCTGTGGCATCAGGCTTGACACTCGGAGCTAGCCAGGCTTCTGAGAGGGCTCTGATGCTACTGGAGGGCCTGAATCTAACATAGAGCCACAGGTGATATGTGTGGGCCTAAGGGGACTGCAGCTCCACCACAGGTCAATGTGTCATCTCCTGGGTACCCCATTGGTCGAGAGAGAGAGAAAGAGAGAGAAAGAGGGGGGAAGAGTTGTGTGGGACAATTTGGATCCTAGAAGTTAAGTTATGGCCAAAGGGAAGGAATAGCCCCTGGACCATATGGCACAGGCAGGTTCCCTGGTCCCTTCCTTCCTGTGTTCACTTCTCAGCCCTGTTGTAGGTAGTTTGAAGAATTCTTCATTGTGTTCTGGAGTGGGAAATTATGGGAGATGGGGTGACCATGCAAGATGGCGTAGGTCAGTGGGAAGGTGTGCAGAGAACTTGGTGGCCTTACCTTGTCTTTTCCATCTCGTTCATATGTGTCCTACAGGTCCTGAGATATTTCGACTATGTCTTCACAGGAGTGTTTACCTTTGAGATGGTTATAAAGGTAAAAGCTTCTAAAGAAAACCTGGGCTCTGGACTTCAATTGTCTCACTGTCTGCTCCTTTAGTTTAGGGTCTGTCCCCAATAATGCCATCTCTTAGCCCATGGCAGCACCAAGGGAGCTCCTGCCAAACTCTTTCTAGCTTCAGTGACCTCCTTTAGGCATGGCTGTATGGATGTGATTAAATAATGTAGATCTCTTCTCATGGCCTGGACTAGAGGCAGAGAGTAGGTGGGCACACAGCTTGAGAGGGATGTACTTCAGCACCATGCACCTCTGGTCTTATTCTGAGCACATGGTCCAGTCAATGGGTTAGGGAGACATAAGTCTTTCCAGACTCCATCTAACTCCAACCATACTCCCTCCCCTCTAGACTCCTAACATCCCAACAAGACTACCTCATTCCAGATTTTACCTCTCTGGGATTTCTACCCATCCATGTAGGCAGTGTTTAGAGTTCTGGGACAGAGAGGAGAAGAAGAATATGACAGGATTCTGTAATGGCAGAGAAGTTTAGTTAAACCCTATGTGACTTAGAGAAGGCTCTCACTGTAAACTAGAGAATTTGTGTGACTGTAAGAAGAGGCTTCAGTCCTCATCATTATCCGTAGATCTTCTTGGATACCGTTCTTGCTCCTCAGGCCCAGGGTGGGTTTGGCTATTAGTTAGGATTTTTTTTTTTTTTTTTTTTGCTATGAGGAGTTACTATGACCACAGCAACTCTTACAAAGGAAAACATTTAATTGGGGGGGCTGGTTTACAACTCAGAGGTTTAGCCCATTGTCATCATGGTGGGGAGGATGGTAACATGCAGGCAGACATAGTGATAGAGAGGTAGCTGAAAGTTCTACATCCAGTTACAAAGGCAGCAGGAAGACAGCAAGACACTAGGCCTGGCTTAAGCATCTGAAACCTCATATCCCACCCCCAGTGACACACTTCTTTTAAAAAGGCCATACCTACTCCTAAAAGGTCACACCTCCTAATAGTGCCACTTCCTATGAGCCTATGGGGCCGTTTTCACTTCAACCACCACAGCTATGAGGACAGTGGCAGCTGACCCCTTGCCATTAGGAAGCGAAGTCTGGTGTCAGTGTTCCTTACACCAGGAGCCTCATGTGTGGCTGTTCAAACCCTTGTCCTGCAGATGATAGACCAAGGCTTGATCCTGCAGGATGGATCCTATTTCCGAGACCTCTGGAACATCCTGGACTTTGTGGTAGTGGTTGGTGCGTTGGTAGCCTTTGCCCTGGCGTAAGTAGATCGTTTTCTCTTCTATTCCCTTGCCTTTACTCTTCCTGGAGCCCTGCTTGACTTGAGCCTGTCTCCAGGGCCCACCTAAAAAGTGAATGCTCCAAGTGGTGCCAAAGAGTGACACTGGGAGTCTGCTTGCCAGTCATTCTGCACAGCATCCTTAAGGTCTTACAGCTCTATGTGTCCTAAATGAGAAAGCAAGATTGAGGAGCATCAGGAGGAAGAAGGGAGAAGCCAGGGCATTGTGAAAGAATGATGCAGAGGCAGAGTAGAATCCTGGCCATAGGGAGGTTCTCTGCCCATGAATGGTGTTAGTGTAGTTAGTCCAGGGATATAAGAACCATATGGGTACATGTGATCTCAAAAAGGAATGATTTTCCAAGTCTTCCTTAAAACATACTTAAGAAAACGTTCTTAAACTATGGAGGAAACCAACCCATATCATTGGTAATTGGTGAAATTTATTTATATCACACACTGATCTAGCTTTAGCAGGTTTTAAGCCACATTGTGGCATTTCCTATGGAATCTAGCCAGGGGAAGGAGCTCTGAAAGCCCCCTGGAACAGGTCTAAGAAAGCCAGAGGCTGCTAGGGACATTAAGAAAATCCTAGGTCTGAAACCCCTGCACAGATGTAGCCATGGCAGTTCAGTGTCCAAATGGGTTCCATAGTAATGGGGACAGGGACTGTCTCTGACATGAACTGATTGGCCTGCTCTTTGATCACCTTCCCCTCAGGAGGGAGCAGCCTTAGCAGGCCGCAGAGGAAGACAATGCAGCCACTTCTGATGAGACCTGATAGACTAGGATCAGAGAGAAGGGGAGAAGGACCTCCCCCATCAGTAGACTGGGGAAGGGGCACAGGTGGGGAAGTGGGAGGAAAGGTGGGATTGGGAGGGGAGGAGAGAGAGAGTTACAGGGTAGTGATACAAAGTAAATAAACTAATTAATAAACTAATAATAAACTAATTAATAAAAATAGAAATAAATTAAGAAAATCCTAATCAGGCAGGGGAAATAACCCAGCAGGATGGATGTCAGTCTTCCGGGCTCAGTCTGTACCTTCTTCTAACCCAAATGTGTTCCCTTTCATCTGCTTGGCATGTAGGACCCCTCAAAGCCATCCTTCCAGCCTTTTGAGCCTTGCCTTCTAAGCAAGGCAGGAAACACTTTCCTTGTGGTGGGGTAGGGGAATCATTTGGGTGCTGTTTTCATGGATGACAGCCATGTGGGGAAGAGGCACGATGTCGCTATAACTTTGCCCTCCCCATATCTAAGGTGTTAGAAAAGGACCATCCTCTACCCACCTTATCCCAAACACCGACAGCTTGTACCTTGTATCCGCAGTGGCAGTTAAATAGGCAGGGTAAGAACCAAGGGGTCAGGGGAGAGGGCACTGGAAACCGAGGTGAGAATTCCCACCTGGGTTAAGTCTAAGATCTCCCAGACCTGAAAGTACACTGTGCCACTGTTGCAGGAGATACAACAGGCTCCTGCAGAGACTGAGTATAGGTGTGACCCCGAGACAGGATGCTAGCAGGGTAATTCAGTGTGCCTTGTCCCCATGTGCATAGGCATCTCAACGCCATTAGAGCTGGGTGGAGTCGACTTTGCCCTCACAGAATGAAAGCATCCTAAAAATGTAGCCGAACTGTTCCCAAAGAGATTTCACAAAAGCATGGTGTCTCCCCACATATCCAGATCATGTGTGGGTTCTCACAGCAACCTAAAAAGAAAGGCAACCTTGGCCCTACCAAGGGAACTCCCAGCTCCTCCTTGGCATGGTTCATTCCAGGCCGCCTATCCTTTAAGAAAACCCATCTTATTTGTTGATTGTTTCTTAAAGACAAATAAAATATGACCACTGAGTTTTTTTATTTTTTAATTCTTTATTAATTACACTTTATTCACTTTGTATCTTCCCTGTGGTTCCCTCCCTCCTCCCGTCCCAATCCCTCCCTTCCTCCACCCTCTGCATGCATGCCCCTCCCCAAGGTCACTGATAGGGGAGGTCTTCATTTCCTTCCTTCTGATCCTAGTCAATTAGGTCTCATCAGGAGTGGCTGCAGTGTCTTCTTCTGTGGCTTGGTAATGCTTCTTTCCCCCTCAGGGGGAGGTAATTAAAGAGCAGGCCAATCAGTTCATGTCAGAGACAGTCCCTGTTCCTATTACAATGGAACCCACTTGGATACTGAACTGCTATGGGCTACATCTGTGTACAGGTCTTAGGTTATCTCCATGCATAGTCCTTGGTTGGAGTATCAGTCTCAGGAAAGACCCCTGTGCTCAGATTTTTTGGTTCTGTTGCTCTCCTTGTGGAGTTCCTGTCCTCTCCAGATTTTACTGTTTCCCACTTCTTTCATAAGATTCCCTGCACTCTGTCCAAAGGTTGCCCATAAGTCTCGGCATCTGCATTGATAGTCTGCAGGGCTCTGTGTCAGGCTCCTGACTTGTTCCCTCTTTTCTCCTTCTTCTGATGTCCAGCCTCTTTGCCTTTCTGGATAGGAATTGAGCATTTTAGCAAGAGTCCTCCCTCTTGATTAGTTTCTTTAGGTGTACAGATTTTAGTAGGTTTATCCTATATTATATGTCAATATGAGTGAGTATATACTGTATGCATCTTTCTGCTTCTGGGATAGCTCACTCAGGATGATATTTTCCAGATCCCACCATTTACCTGCAAATTTCATGATTTCCTTGTTTGTTTGTTTGTTTTTTATTGCTGAGTAATATTCCATTGTGTAGATATTACCACAATTTGTGCATCCATTTCTCCACTGAGGGGCATCTGGGCTGTTTCCAGCTTCTGGCTATTACAAATAAGGCTGCTACAAACATGGTTGAACAAATGTCCTTATTGTGTACTTGAGACTCTTTTGGGTATATGCCTAGGAGCGGTATAGCTGGATCTTGAGGAAGCGCTATGCCTAGTTGTCTGAGAAAGCGCCAGATTGCTTTCCAGAGTGGTTGTAAGAGTTTACATTCCTACCAGCAGTGGAGGAGGGTTCCCCTTTCTCCACAACCTCTCCAGCAGGTGTTGTCTCTTGAGTTTTTTATCTTAGCCATTCTGATGGGTGTAAGGTGAATCTTAGGGTCGTTTTAATTTGCATTTCCCTGATGGCCAATGAGACTGATCATTTCTTTAAGTGTTTCTCTGCCATTCGATATTCCTCTATTGAGAATTCTCTGTTTAGCTCTGTACTTCATTTATTAATTGGATTACTTGATTTTTGCTGTTTAACTTATTTAGTTCTTTATATATATTGGATATGAGTCCTCTGTCAGATAAAGGGTTGGTGATGATTCTTTCCCAATCTGTAGACAGTCATTTTGTTTTGATGACAGTGTCCTTTGCTTTACAGAAGCTTTTCAGTTTCATGAGGTCCCATTTATTGATTGTTACTCTTAGAGCCTGTGCTGTTGGTGTTCTGTTCAAGAACTCCACAAGCAGAGCAACAGAACAAGATAATTTGAACACAGGGAACTTCCCAGAGACTCATACTCCAACCAAGGACTTTTCGTGGAGATAACCTAGAACTCCTGCACAGATGTAGCCCATGGCAGTTCAGTGTCCAAGTGGGTTACATAGTAATGGGAAGAGGGACTGCCTCTGACATAATCTGATTGGCCTGCTCTTTGATCACCTCCCCCTGAGGGGGGAGCAGCTTTACCAGGCCACGGTAGAGGAGAAGGCAGCCAATTTTGATGAGAACTGATAGACTAAGATCAGAAAGGAGAGGAGAACCTCCCCTATCAGTGGACTTGGGGAGTGGCATGCATGCAGAAAGGGGAGGTAGGGTGGGATCGGGAGGGGAGGAGGGAAGGGCTTATGGGGGGATACAAAATGAAAAAGTGTAATTAATAAAAAATTAAAAAAAAAACTTGTCTCCTGTGCCAATGAGTTCAAGGCTCTTCCCCACTTTTTCTTCTAAGCAGTTTAGTGTGTCTGTTTTATGTTGAGGTCTTTGATCCACTTGGACTTTAGTTTTGTGCAAGGTGATAAGTATGGATCTATTTGCATTTTTCTACATGTAGACATCCAGTTAGACCAGCACCATTTGTTGAAGATGCTGTCTTTTTTTCCATTGAATGGTTTTGGCATCGTTGTCAAAAATCAGGTGACCATGAGTGTGTAGATTTATGTCAGGGTCTTCTGTTCGGTTCCATTGATCCACCAGTCAGTTTCTATGCCAGTATCATGTAGTTTTTAGTATTGTTGCTTTATAGTACAGCTTGAGATCAGGGATGGAGATACCTCCTGCAGATCTTTTACTGTAGAGAATTGTTTTAGCAATTCTGGGTTTCTTGTTGTTCCATATGAAGTTGAGAATTTTTCTTTCAAGGTCTGTAAAGAATTGTGTTAGTAATTTGATGGGAATTGCATTGAATCTGTAGATTGCTTTTGGTAAGATGGCCATTTTTGCTATATTAATCCTGCCAAGCTATGAGCATGGGCGATCTTTCCATCTTCTGATATCTTCTTCTAATTCTTTCTTCAGAGACTGGAAATTTTTTTCATACAAGTCTTTGACTTGGTTGGTTAGGTTCACACCAAGGTACTTTATATTCTTTGTGGTTATTGTGAAGGGTGTTGTTTCCCTAATTTCTTTCTCAGCCCTTTTGTCTTTTGTATACAGGAGGGCTACTGATTTTTTTGAGTTAATTTTGTATCTAGCCATTTTGCTGAAGGTGTAATTCCCTTGTAGAATTTTTGGGGTCACTCAGGTATACTATCATATCATCTGCAAATAGTGATACTTTGACTTCTTCCTTTCCAATTTGTATCCCCTTGATCTCCTTCAATTGTCTTATTGCTCTAGAAAGGACTTCAAGAACAATGTTGAAGAGATATGGAGAGAGTGGGCAGCCTTGCCTTGTCCCTGATTTCAGTGGGATTGCTTTAAGTTTCTCTCCATTTAGTTTGATGTTGGCTATCGGCTTGCTGTATATCGCCTTTACTATGTTCAAGTATGTGCCTTGTATTCCTGATCTCTGAATGG